ATCCATATACGCCAATACTTCGCCAATACTGTTTTGTCCGCTGAATCAGGATGCATCGGAACCTGATGGAATCCTTGCGCCAAGTCTAACGTCGAAAAAAGGTTTTTATTTGCCAGACTGCAAAGTTGATCCGCAATTAAGGGAAGAGGATATCTATCTTTTATCGTGATTGCGTTCAGCGCCCTGTAATCAACACACATTCGCATGTCGCCATTTTTCTTGGGTATTAGAACTATTGGACTAGCGTACGCCGACTCGCTCTCCCCAATAACACCTGCTTCTAGTAGTGCTTGTAGTAGTAATAGTGTCTAGTAGCACTTTTTGTCGAACAATCTCTCGCTCATGATGAGATAATCTGTAGGGACGGTAGTAAATAGGTATATTGGAAGAAACCTTTATCTGCATACTACCTAAATTCGTCAAACCCAAATCGCCATCGCCTTTTGAAAAACAATTCGCCTTACGCGTAAGTAAATCAAATAATTTTACCTTACATTCGTTCGATACGTCACCTACACATGCACAATTAACATTAAAATGTTTACTTACTTCAATTCGCCTGATAATGGGTGTCGCCTCGCTGGTCTCGTTCCTGACACAGCATTCCGCCCGAGCAATCAATTTTCCCTTTCGCCAGGAGATGGTATCGTCGCCCACGTTCGCCAATTGAATGGTTTTTTGTAGTCCACTGAGCAGCGCGCCCGGAATCGATATTGTCTATGCACCTTGTGGAAACATTTTCCGAACGTCCGATACGCCGTCGTGCACATTCACCGGCGCCATATTAATAGAATTGGCAACAAGCACCACGTCTTCTGCCAGACTTACTCGTGGTCTAACCTCCGCCTCCTCAAGAGTAATCTTCCTAATAACTCGTTGAGGTCGGGTTTTTTGACCAGGTAATGTTTACCGTTACGCACCACCATCGTCACTCCTTGACTTTGGAGCAGTGGTTGCCCTATTAACAGTTCGATAGCGCCCATATCGCAATCTGTTACCAACGCCGTTACTTCGAAACTACTATCCGCCAATAGCATCTCGAATTGTACCTCACCTCGTGGAAATACAAGACCGCCGCCAAATCCACACAACGCCTGGCTTGTCTCCCCTGTTCGGATAGCTAGTCCTAATTGTCGCGTCTTTGCAAGAGTTAGCAAATTATGTTCACTACCAGTATCGATATTCGCCTCCGTATATCGATATACTGCTACCTTCCGATATACTGCTCGCCTGATGCCCCGCTTCGCCACACAATCTACATCGTTCCGCTCGGGGATATGGACAGTTCTTGCTCACGTGTATCGCCATCTTCTGACAGTTAAAACATCGTCGTTTTACCTCTGTCTCCCTGGAGCTGTTTGGTCGGCGTGCAGTCATCTGTCGCCGAGGTTCCTTCTCGCTTCTCGCCATTTCACCATGATACCCCTCTAACTCCGCCAGGAAAGAGTGATATAACGCCTCTGGGGTCGCGCAACCTGCCGCCTGCGCGTTCGCACGGAGTCCTTTCGATAGTCCTCGGTTAATGCAGGAAACTGCATGTTCCCCTTTTACATTTACCCGGTAACACAACGCCAGCTTAGCATGATAATAAATTGTCATGCTTTCGGACGCCAACTTTCGCCTATTAATGAGTTCTTCCAGCATACAAGCGAAATCCCGACGCCTGGGAAACGCCTCTCGCAACTTGATTTTCCATTGCTCCCAAGAGCCGCCGTAATCGTCGAGCTGATGGAACCAACGTCGTGCTGCTCCGTGTAGCTTTGATTGCGCCAGTGTTGTTCGCTCGTACTGTGACCAGCCATGGATAGCCCCAAGTTGATCGATCTTCTGGACCCACTGTTCGATGTTAGAGTCGGAATTGTCTGGGTCAAAACGATCCAGCATCTCCGATCCCAACAGTAGGGAACGCCTTTCACTACCGCCTTCCTCTACGTCGAGGGCATCGTTCGTCCTTGACGACGCTGTAGGTTGCGCCGCATTGGTGGAAAATAATTCTCCTCGCCTTTGGCTCGTTTCACCTCGCCTTGGTGAACTGTCGTCCAAAAGTAACTCCTCGTCGAGAACTAATTCGTCGCCGGAGGCAGCCATTATTACCTAAAATTCGACACGAAATTAGTAATAATATCGCCTATAATTAATTATAAATAACACCGCCCGTTTTATGTTCAGTACGCCACTGTTAATTAAATAAACAAAATAAAATATTTATAACAAAACTCTTTATTCACGTATTCTAATTACACCGAATACAATAATAACGCCAGCCTTCAAGGTCAGCTTCGCACTGAGAATCGATCGCCCTATCGATTCTCGCCGCGCCACCGTAGATCGCCCGACCCGCTCGCCCTCTAGATCTTTCGTTTCCTCGTGCCTACTCCGAGTCGACCCCTCACGCCTGATTTTTGGTACAGTTATTTAATTTTTATTTCTGGGGTCCCTTGATTTTTTGTTGGGCTTTGTATGAGTTTCTGGCATATTTTTTGTTGATTGACCGGTAACAGTAGCCAGATCTTTCTGACCAGTCCGTACTACGTTTTTTGAACAACGAAAACATTTAGATTTAACTATATTTTTCTTACCACAACCGTAACAAAAAATACTTTTGGGAGACCTACAAACACTATAAGCATGCCCTTGTTTATTACAATTCCAGCACCTAATATTGGAGATAGCAGATATATTTTTATTTGTATCGTAAAGAAGTGATTTCTGTGTGTCAAGATTCGAAGTACAATGTCCCGAAAAATTTGTATTGTTGCCGTGTACGTTATAATTTACTTTAGGTCTAGATAAACTATGAAGATAGCATTTATTATTGACAGCCGTAGGTGGTTTATACCTTTCAGACCGTGCTTGAGATTCTTCAATTCTTTTACACAAACTACTAAGTTCATCGATAGTTTTAGGTGAATGTAGAGCTAATTGAGAAACGTAAAATGGTTATAAATTTCGTCTGATTCTAGTAACCCAACTTTGTTCATCCGGAATTACATCAAGTCTTTTAAAAAGATTTTCCATGGACGCAATATACAGGGTGTTTGTAAATTGCATGCACATATTAAAACTGGTTAAACTATATGCTTAATAAAAACTATTGTATAAATAATTTTTTCAAAATAGCGTATAATTACCGAGTAATTATTTTTTGAAAATTGTTGCTAAATAAGATACACGCCTCTGAAATGTTGAGAGGGTCAGTTACAAATTTAAAGCGATCAGCTGTGGATCGGCGGATTTCTTTCAACGTTGCCATGTTTTATTTGTTAATTTGAAAAATAAGACATTTTTAAAGAATGTGTTTCTTTTCATTTAAAGGATTAGAATTACTTTAGATACTAATAATCATACTAGTAATCGGTTAATATTTAAAAATTGAAGTATTTTTCATTTAATTCAGATGCAATAATCAATTGAGTAATTTTAAACAAATCGACTCGCGCGATACGATCCGTAAAGTTGTAATATCGACACAATAATAATTGATAAATGAAAAATCATGTCTCAAAAGAATTTATTTATTACTTACTACTTATTAGAAGCACATCAATTAATTAACTCATTTTGATCAAACGCGTCTGCCATTGCATTGCTCCAAGAATCAGAACACTAAACTAAGAACAAACTAAACTTGAAGAATAATAAGAAGTTAAACACTATCAAACAAATCACTTAAAAGAACTATCTATTTGACCACGAGGTTAACAACCCTACAAAACAATACGCACTAGAAAACATTCGGCTAGATTTTTTGAAGGCCGGCAGGCGGAGGGAGAAATTTGCACGTCACATCGCATAAATTATCTTTTACAAGGGTAATAAAGCGATTTCTTTAGTTACTACACAAAGATATAGACGCAACCAGTTCGTGCGTTGATTTGCCTTTGCCGATTTGAAAAATACATAAAAATTTGTAAATTTGTTAAGTGTGAACTTTTATCAAGTTTGAGTTTTTGTGTTTGTTAGTTTTTGGTTCTTTTCGCAGAAGAGCAGAAGCTTGTATTGAAATTAATGGTGGACACTTTAAACAATAATTGTTTAACAATTAATCACAACAATTATTGTTGTGATACTTTGTAAGGATACCTAGATAATCATGAAGATTTTGGGTAAGTTTAATTTATTTAAGGAATAGGGTTCCTTAGTTTTTAATGTATTCAATGTTTCCGAAATTCATGACCTATTTTCGAATATTTTGCAAAACATTATTTTATGAAATTCAACCATTTTTAAAATGATTAATTTTAGTATACCTAGTTGGTTTGACGATATTACGGAAAAATTATCACATTATTTCGTTTTATAAACATTTTACAACACTGTTCGTTCAACGCGCTCCCAGTCGCTTATGTAGAATACGCGTAGACAATACGACGTAGAGTTTGGGGCGGATAAATGTTAAATTGCCCCAAATTTAAACATTTGAATTAAAAAAAATAATAACGCCAAATCACTTTTAGAGGTATTCCTGACATGTGGTTGAAATATGTGCATGCAATTTACAAACACCCTGTATAAGTTAGCAGGTTCATTAATACCTTGATTTTTATTATTAATCTCTAATTCTAAATCAAATTGATAGTTACAAGGCAGAAAATCTTCCTTTAGTTTGTTTATTAATTGAGGCCAAGAAGCTACTTTTGTTTTAGCAGACATAAACCAAACCAATGCAGATCCTTTAAAAAATTCAAAACATTTCAAAAATAAATCAGCGTCCGAAACACCTCGAGAAGTTTTAAGTAAATATATATGAGACAAAAAAATCGTGAAGCGAGCCTGAACCTTCAAAAGAAATATTCCATTAATGTATGTCATTTTGTTTGACAGGGGTTATATTCGTATAACTCGTGTTAACATCAATATTAGACGAAGTACTAGCATGCAAAGGATCAATAACTTTTGAAGCAATAAAAAATTCTGTAGGTTTGGTATCAGCGACGTCAGGAACCACGACATTCTACCCCACTCTACCTTCACTCGGTGAGATAAATCAAAATAAATTATTGACATTGCGTTGAAGATTTATTGGTGCTACTACAAAGTACATTCTAATCTGTTTTAAAGAGAACAATTAATTGGTGAAAGGAAAAACGACTGTGTTTTTAACTGCTTTGAAATTTAAATACATTTCTACGGATAAAACTAGCAAACTAATGATCATCCCGATGGCCAGAAGACACAAAACCGGGTAAAAATTATCGATACCAATGTGGTAATTTAATTTCGCTTTGGAATGTACGCATTCAGGTTTTTTGGGATGCCAGAATTTAATTTCCCTGTATATTATTCCGTATTCTGCTAATCGTTGTATACTAAAATTACAAAATGATATAACCCACTTAGCTTAACATGCGTTTTAAACTTACCAAGTATCGAACATATCCCTGTAAGGAGAGTGTTTCTGGAAATTGGCGTGCATGGGCTGCGTTCTGTACATTTGTAGCTCGTTCAATTCACATACGTATGTCTCTGGAAAAGTGTCTTTAATAATAGGATAAGCAGTGGCCAGTTCAACGTGGAAAGCATATCCTCCATCACGGACTTTCTCCAAACCTTTTTCCGGAACAAGGAAGTTGCTGTTGTTATCGCCTTTTAGAATTTTTTTTTCGTACAGTTGCTTCGAAATTTGATCTGTCGTGTACTAAAATTATTAATTATTATTCCTTAAGGCTTTTTCAATTCACGCGAAAAATACATTATTCGATGGAGAAAAGTGGTCGGGGCAACTTTGCAAGTACAAAAAATTTTCGGGAAATCTTATGGTTTAACGGAAAGTAATCAGTTATTGATTAAAGAATATTTTAGAAAATGTGTGTCTATTCTAAAAATCACCGAAGAAAAATTTTCCAGGTTTCCAAATATCTATTTTTCAAAAGATCTCGTCGTTTTATGTTGTACAGCATTTTTCCCAATTTTTTTTCTTCTAAAATAAAGCCGTATTTTATAACACTGAATCAATTAATTAATCAATCAATCAATCGGTGAATAAATAAATGTTTACTCGAATTATATAGTTATTCCATTAATGTAAACAAAATACTATTTATTTTTTAATTTTCCTATCAATGGTTTAAATATCTTACTTTAAAATAATCTCTGTTGTATAATATGTCTTCGCATCCGGCCTGCATTGGCGACTTCAAAAGACTTTCTATAGACTGGATCAAAGCTTTGGGCTTGATTAATAAATTGGAGACGACACTAGCCGAATAAAATTGAAACACCAAATAAGATAGAATCAATAAGACCAGCACTGTTATTCGACCTGAATATACACTTGGAGTATTTATACCCAAACCTGAAATTAACCGAATTAGAGTCTAGTCCCCAATTGGGCTCTGCTTAGTCATATGTTGGCTTCTCTTGCCACTTAGGAATATACCTGGTGATATTATGCAAAATAAATCTACTGGATCTTGTGGATGGGTCTATTGGATCTACGGACCCTTTATCCTAGTGATATGTCTAAAATCTAATAGACCATAAGGTTCATAAGATCCAAAGGATCTTAGAAATCACTAGGAAGATGTAAAACATACCTTGTTGGCAAAATACAGAGGTAGCTCCGATGAGCAAATAGCTCCAGGTGGTATCGCTTGTTCTGTCAATTCTGGTCTTCTCCAAAATTTGGGTGTACCGCAAAATGAGCACCATGAACCCACTGGTGCAGATCAGCGTAACCCAAATTGAAGTGGACAAAGGTTTGAGAAATATGTCAGCGGAACCCAACGATTTGGGATTTCTAAATATAAACGCAGCCCTAAAAAAGGCACACAATAAACATCTTCTGGATTAGTTTTTTGGTAAACAGTTTTCATTACTTAAGAGTCCATGTTCTTCTTCCATACTCCATGACTGTTCCTCTGTCTGCTCTGACAAATAGAGGTGAACTTCCGTAATCGACCAATTTTCTTTCCAATGCACCTACTAACCCGTCGAAGGAGGTATCGTTAATTAAGTAACCCCAGGATTTTTCCATCGTTACATTTGATCTAGAACCACCACTTACTTATTGTTGTCAATGGACATCATGAGTAACTTACGTAAAGTTGTAATAAGCAACGCAGGGTCTCAGGAGACTGTAATGAAAACGATTAAATGTGTTTATATGCGGATCCGAATCGTTGTTCAAATAATCCTCTAGAGTTTCATTAAAATCTATTGGTAACTGGAAAACACAATTTGAACGTGAATCAGTAGCGATTTATTTAACAAATTTGCGCACCACTATTATAGACCTCAAAGTAACTCCGCTCATATCTCTCCTTAAAGTATACTTAAACTCCTTCTCAACGATATTGTAACCGTCTGTTCGATTGTAATAGCCCATAATACGCTTCTTTAAACGACCCCCTCTAGTTGAAGCTGGATTATAAACGTCCTGTATAATTAATTCTGTAGAATTCCACGGGAACATCACACTAATATCGGCGTTAATGTACAATTCAACGTTGTTAAACGTTTCGGAAAAATTCGCCTCCCCGCTCAATATCAGCCAGTGGTGTTTCACGTCAAAAAGGCGATTTTCGCCACTCTAGAAACGTCAGGAAATTACAAAACGGGTATGAGGAAGTGCACAAAAATAAGAACCAGTTTCAAGAAATTGCCCAAGTCGCTTCTGGAACAATCACCATCCACGACTACCCCGATGTGATGATGCTGAGTTGTCAGATAGTGCGGGTTTTGGGGGTCTTTTACATTCAAAATGGATATTTTTTGGTCACCGAAACCCAAAGATTTCACAAGCGAAAATTTTTCTAACAAAATAAAAACAGAAGTCTAAACTCTCAATATCAGAAAGAATAGGAAGAATAGTTTTACCGTCATCATTGAAACAACCAACAATGCTGGCGAAATTGACCATTTTTTCTTTGAAATATTCCCGTATAATTCGCACATTGATGAAGCCCTTTGCCAAATTGCACCATATTATGAATAATACGATGGAAAAAAAAATCGCGTATCTCATACTTGAGCCAATAGAAGTTTGTAAATGGAGTAACGAAGGCCGTATTATATGCTTTATTAGATTCTCCTTTTGACAGCCGTCAAAGATAATGGCCGGTGGAGGAAAATTCATGAATTGATTATCTTTTTTGTCGGTGATGGTAAAACAAAGCGAAAATATCGAGTTTTTTTACGTAAATTAGTTTCTGTCACTCAAATTTATATGAAAGGAACCATTTCATCAATAATTTCCTACATCTAACCACTCGAGTTTATCAAAATACCTAAAAAACTTACTAGCTTACTACTTAATGCTAGTGCAAATTTCTACAATCTAATTCTCAATTAGACATATTAACTAGTAAATGGATACAATCTGTGGCGATTCAAATAATTCCGTTTGTTATACAACAGGAACTCAACCAGTAGAAAAATCACGCCTAGCAATGCTCCAATAGCAACTGCTATAGGACCGCAGGAAAACTCTTTGAAAGAGACGTGAAATTCCTGTTTTTTTGCTCCTTCGATGCATTGAGGTTGTCGAGCGTCCCAATGCTTCCTTAACCTATCCATATTACCGTCCTCGGCTTGCTTCAACATGCAATAATTCATCATTTCCCTGAAAGGCGAGCCTTTCTGCAAGTTGGTAAACATCGGCTGGGTCCTGTACATTTGCACCTCCTCCAATTCACAGATATCCTGGTTGGAGAAGGTCGCTTCTATAATAGGATAAGCGGTGCTGGTTTCCACGTGGAAAGCGAAACCTCCGCGTCTTACCAACTCCAAACCTTCCTCGGGCGTGTAGAAACCGGAATTGTTGTTGCTGTATTTTATCTTGCTCTCGAACAAATTGATTGCGTCCGGATCTGTGGTGTCCTAGAATTTTCCTTAATGTACCTATGTACGTGAGTCCTTGCGCGACTGAACTCACCACAAAGTAATTTCTGTCTATCAAAATGTCTTCGACGCCGACACGCAAAGAGCTCTCTTTTAAATCATTCAGGTCGAATATCGTTCGAGGCGGTTCCAACAGCAAATAGGACACGATGCTAGCCGAGTAAAATTGGTAAATTAGTATGGCAAAGAGGGAGATGAATATCGCCAAAATTCTACTGCTGAGGAAGCTCGGATGGCAAGTAGCGCCTAAAAATTATTTCGATTATTATCAACAAAATAACATGCGTCTGAGAACACTTAATGAAGTAGAGGAATTGATAGATTATGAAAAATTTACAGAACAATGTACGGCGAATGAACCCAATGGATGGAGAAGAAACAGAAGAGAATTGAAACATCCTCTCTATTCAGTGGTCCAATTATAAAAAAAATGTGAAAATGCGGCAAAGTTGAATAGTGCGAGAAGTAAACATAATATTAAGAACTGAATTAAAATACCTCAGCCCTAGGGCCTACAAGGCACGTTTCGCTCAATTATGCATGTGGTAATGTATTATGTATTTATAAAAATAATCGAAAAGTTTTAATTATAGATGATACCTTGCTGACAAAAGGCACCCAACGTAAACAGGAACAAGAAACTCCAAGTGGTATCGTCAACGCTGAAATCCCTCTTGCGCAATATTCTCATTTCATTAGAAAATACGATCTTCAAAGCGATCAAAATTACCAACAATGTAATCAGAATAAGCGTCCAGACTTCGGTTTCCAACGGTCTTAAAAAGATTTCGTACGATGTTGCTACCACTTTCGGTTTCCGGTAGATGAAGGTTGATCTATAAACCAGAAGAAAATTGGGAAAATTCAGTCGATGTTTAAGGTAAGAAAGCTTTTATAGACCTCAAAATCCAATTACCATATCCATAGTCAACGTAAGGTAATCTGTCGAATTTGAAGAGCAATGGTGAGCTACCGAAATCCACTAGTCTTCTCTCCAATAAACTGACCAATCCGTCGAATCTGCCGGTGTTCGGTTTGATGTAGCCCCAAGAGTCTACTCGTTGGACCTTCAAGCTATTTAATCAAGTTAAGTATCAAGTTAAGTTTTCGTAAAAGGAAGATGTTCTGAGAGGAAAATATACCAACCTAAAGTTGAAGATACCTTTGCAGTTGATCACTGAGTTTGCTTGGAATCTATGCATGGAGTCCACTTGACGATCTTTGTCGCTATCTAGATATTCTTCCAATGGAATATTTAGAGTCGGTACCTAAATCATTTTAGTCCTATCAATTGACCTCTTTAAAAAAGCTCCATTGAAACTTACTACGATGGCAGATTTGAAAGTAACTCCGGTCATATTTCTCCTTCTCCAGTATTTATTTTCTGTTTTATCCACAACATAACCAACTTTTCTATTGAAATACCCTATTATGGGCGTCTTTAAATCTCCACCATGTTCAGAGGCGGGATTATACACATCGTATACAGTGAAGTTAGTACCATGTTCATCAAGCACCAACAAATTAACATCCGAATTGATGTTCAATTTCAATTTACGAAAGGATTCTATCACTTTCAAAGACTGGCTGGTAACGAGCCAATGGTACGTTTCGTAGAAGAATTTCTTATTCAGTTTCTAGAAAATGGCGCGAGCTAAAGGGGACCACCGAGTTGTACCACGACTACTTGAGTTAATACCATACCGTTCTTTATCCGGATTACATTGACCACCGAGTTGTACCACCAAGTAATTAGACTTAGTTGCCTTAATACGCTATACATTATTGGGGATTACAGAGAGGTACCTCAAAATAGAAAACAGCCTAAAACAGGCAATTGTATTAAGGTAGACTTGTTTCATTATTCTTGGTAATTTTGTCCAATTTTTACCAATCAATGTACCTATACTCAATAAAATTTTGCTAAGAATGGTTATTACTTATTTCTAGTTTTACTTGTTAAGTAGTAGTTTAATTGAAGTTCAATACATGCTTTGTGAAGAAGGTGCAAAATTGTTGATTTTAAATAGCTTTAAATTTTCAAAAGCACATATTGCGAAGTGTGGGAATTTAAGATGGCGTTGTACTAATTCCAAAAGTAGGTGTAATGCAAAAATATACATCAGTGCAGACGAAAAAACTGTTTTAGAATCTGAGCTTGAGCATAATCATGAACTTAAGAAGACACTTGCTGCTAGCAATAGCGTAAAAAGAAAAGCTGTTGATGATTGTGCAGAAAGACCATCTAAACTAATTAATAAGGAATTAATCATATGTATACCAGGGTGTCCCTGAATGTTTGGGAAATCTCTCGGATTCATATAGAAAATGAAAAAATAAGACGAGAAGTTCCTATAAAGTTTTTCCATACAAGCCCTCCCTACAAAGATATGCGTCCCTACAGGAGACCGCTGAAAATAGGTTTTTCTTAAATATCTTTTAAAGTACCTGATATAATTTAACAAAAATCTAATATGATGGACACTAGTAAGGACATCACAAAAAAGTGTCTTTGAAACATATTTAGCTTTTATAGTGTACCAGGGCTGGACACTAAACGGGAGGCCGGACGGCAAATCTGGAAAGCTTGAACCTTAAACTTAAAAAAAGATACTGCTCTCAATTGTCGATAAAATGAACCGTTTACGAGCAAAACAATAAATTATATGAACTACCGTATACCATTTCAATACTGTACAATTTTTTTTATCACTTATTTACTATCCACGCTTTTAAGTACGGTTATTATGTTCCCGTTGTATGCTCTTTTACCTGATAAATCTAGTAACAAGTATTTTAAATTGTTTAAAAATGTTACCGATAAATGTAATGCATTGAATTTGTCTTTGCATTTCAAATATTAGATAAATTACCTAACAATGAGAAATTAATACATTTTTGCGATTACATATTTGACAACTATACAGTGAGCATTATAAGTGTTGCCCCCCCCCTATCTAACTGGTTACTGGAATCTTCTTAGAAAAAATGGCCGAGACACGTCGACTTTTGATTTTTAAATGTAATTTTTGGTAATTTATTCTCAATTTCATCCCTTACTGTAGGGGAGCAACCGTATTGAAAAATTGAAATAACATGGGGGCGTGAGTGATAGCTCATTTAAAAGGGGGCTTTATTCTACATTCAACTATGCAAAAAATGAAATTTGCTTCATTACGTGTTGAGTTATTAATGTGTAAAAATAACAAAAAAAGTATAAAAACCCAAAGTCGACGTGTCTCGGCGATTTTCTTAACAAGAGTTCAGTAACGAATTAGATAGGAGGGTTGGGTTCTTTATAATTCTTTCTCTAATTCGTTCTCATATAATTAGGTAGATTCGTACGATCCTAAGCTCAAAATAAAATATACTGACTGTTTCCATATTAATTGGTTATCAACAGATTTAAAATTACTCCTAGGATTAAATTACAATAACTTTTTATAAATATCGTATATAAAAATTAGAGATTTTTAAAAATTTTATATTTTACTAAAATTGTCCAGTACGTGGGTATCATTAAGGGGTGTTTGAATGCAAAAGGTGGGGTAGTCTCGGCGATTTTCTTAACAAGAGTTCAGTAACGAATTAGATAGGGGGGTAGGGTTCTTTAGTAAGAAATAGACTCACATTGGATATTATTATTATAATAAAATTATTAAAAGTACTGACACAGAAATATTCACAGTATCTATTACAGATTCTGATATACAGGGCTTTGAAGTCATGACGATTTGAACATAAAAATGGTAATAACTTTTTAAATACTCAGTGTAGTGATTCGCAGATTTCATTTTTCTAAAAAAAATATAATATATGTATATATATATATATATATATAATATATTATAATATAATATATATATATATATAATATAATAAACAAAATTTGAAATATTAAAAATATTTCAAAGAAATGCGGTCCTGTACATGGGTTGAAACCCATCGACCCCTCTAATTTTTTAGAATCATGGATAAATTATAAAAGTAAACAGGGTTTTCCAAACAATAGAAGAAAATAAACTTTAAACTCGTAAGGAATATTAGCTCACCTATTTTGTTGTTGAAAGCTACTTAATTGTTCCAGAACATCACTATAACGAACAAGAACTAACTAAAACTAAGAAGAACACTATAAGAATTAACTAAATTAAGAGTACTAAGAACTGAAACAATCAAATAAATCACTAAAGTTCACACTAAAATCACAAAAATCTATTTAACCCCGATGTTATAATCAAAACAATACAATTCGCACTAGAAAACGATCGGTATCGATAACATTGAAAGAAGCGTCGATAACATCGATAACAGAGAAATTGCGCTTGCTGATAAAATACACCGAATCTGTTTTTTGAGTTAAAATTCCGATCAGCTGACTATTCAGGCCAGGGTTGTATTCGCTCTTTGTATTTATTTCTATCGGTCTCAAATTATGCAAACTACCGCCCCTAGAAATTAGTGCCATAAGTTCGAGAACACCCTGTATGTATATTTTAAAATAAACTGTAACATCCTGTTACACTAATACATTATTGTCTCTAATTTATAATAAAATTGTTAAAGTTATTGTCAGACTTTATTTTTACGTCGTTAATCCTTTTAGGAAATTCGGTCATACAACTCGGCGGTAGGATTAGGCCTACCTGCTAACCTGTGGTACAACTCTGCGATCCCGGAGTTAACCGTAACATACCGCATTTTTTCCACGTTCGATGAACTTACCTCATAGAGGATATGGTCGAAATTGGGACAATCGGTATCTATTAGGACGCCCCAATGGTTTACTGTTTTTCTTATTAGTCCGTTCTCGAATAAATTGGTGGAATTGTTTAAATCGTAAATCAAAAATTGTAGATAATTTTTCATCATACATTTTTGCAGTTTGATGGTTTCTTGAAGAATTAAGAAAAATACGTGCAAGTATAAGAAAAGAAATATAATGCCTTACCTGAGGATTTATAACAACCGAAAATCACCCCTTTACTGATAAATTTCGTTTTACAATATTCGGTAATTATTTTACAATTCAAAAAAGCATTAGTTAATCCAAAAAATGTTAAAAACAACAGTAGTTTTCCAGTCATATTTTTCTCAATATAACTCTTCGGTGTTTTCCTATTCGAATGATAATTGTCCTTAGAAAATCTCCATTAATAATGCATTAATCGAATGTCAAACAAATCGGCATTTCCTTTGGTTGTGGTAAAAAATCTTTCATCGAATCGAATGTTCAATATTAATTCCTTTTGTCGGTACGAGAATTCCGCTTATGAATCGAAAAACTGCCCATAATAAATTCGATGATAATGTTACGAGGGTGGGTGAATAGTGAATATGATTGTGTCATGAAGTGTAATGTAAATTAAGAAATTAATTAATATAGGTATCTACAAGTAATTGTGACGGAAAAGAGTAAAATGACATTATTAAATAATCTACGTTATAAAATTAACCACATTGTATTAATGTATCTAATTTTAAAATAGATAAAAGGCAGTATAAAAGTATGTACAATTACTTGTAAAGAAGTTTTTTGTAATATTATCTTCAGTAATAGAAATATTGAGTTTTCCATGCTAATATGCGACTCTGTATTTCTAAATAACTATATTTTAATTAACAATTAGTTGCAATATTTTCTGTTTGATGGATTTATTACCATACCAATTTAAAAAATGATAATGGAATGAGAAATAGAAAATAACAAGGTGTTTTTTAGAATTATAACTGCAAATGACAATAAATTTAGACTTGTAGAAGTAATTGCGATTAAAATAAACCTATATAAAACAAAATAGCTTGAATTGTACCTAGAATAATCGTAGAAAAATGATTAAGAAAATAGTAATACTTTTCGCTTCGGTATTTTTGGAAAACTGTGCAGCAGGTGAATCATATTTTTTATAACTATTTACATTCATAACCTATAACACTTTATTATAGATAGACTAAAGAGATTGCATTCAGTGTGGGCATAAATTGTCAGTATTACAGTTGTTTAATGCTGTAAAAAAATGCTGTATTTTCTAGATAAGATTTTTTATCATTCTACAGATATTATTAAGAAGCATTTAAATCCTCTTAAAGGGAAATTAAAGAGAAATATTATCCCTTTATAATATTTAATAAAAAAACTTAACTTGATGTTGTGAAAATATATTTAAAAAATTGCCAAGTTTACTTATAAAATTTAAAAAAAATCATAACAAAAATCGTTCATTTTGTAAAATATTTAAAATAAATGAAATTTTTTTTTTGTAAAATTTTATAAAATAATTTGTAATTTCACTAATTTACATAGTAAAAAATAATTAAAAATATTCTACAAATTTATTGTATATTCTTATAAAAATTATTTATTTAGCAGAATATTAAAAAAAGATAAAATTTACTTGGAAAAATGATTTAAAACTATTTGAAATGTAAATAAATTTATTAGGAAAATATTAAGGAACATATTCCTCAATGAATCATTCATTTTCGTCAAATACTTTTAGATTCGTACGATCCTAAGCTCAAAATAAAATATACTGACTGTTTCCATATTAATTGGTTATCAACAGATTTAAAATTACTCCTAGGATAAAATTACAATAACTTTTTTATAAATATCGTATATAAAAATTAGAGATTTTTGAAAATTTTATGTTTTACTAAAATTGTCCAGTACGTGGGTATCATTAAGGGGTGTTTGAATGCAAAAGGTGGGGTAGTAGCGATTTTTTAGTATGTTAAGATTGGGGCCCTAATGAAAAATTCAAGTTTTCGACCTCGAGGCGCATGCGCTCGAGGCTTTGGCTTTGTGGTAATAACTCAAAAACGGTGGCTTTTACGACAAAAGATATTCTATACAGAGTTAAAGAGGACAAAATGTCATACATTTTTTGTTAAAGAAAACCAACGTTGATTGTACCCGTCAGGAAAGTTCGTTAAAACAACATATCCTTTTTTGAATCATTTCTTTTCGCCAAATATTACAAACATTGTACAGAAACGGATTTTCTAAATTATGAAATATTCATGATGTTTCTATCCTAATAAGTTTTCTTTTTTTTTGCAAAAACACTTTTGTTTTTGAAAAAATTTATCGATTTGTTCTTTGGTTGCCCTAACTTCATGGTCTTACTCTAACATAAGCTCAATCTTATTCCAAAAATGACTCATATTCAAATTTCTTTTTTCAGATGTAAATTTGGACAAACTATGCTTAAAACCGAACGGGCAATTTCCCGGCACATCTTGCAACAAATTCGTTAATTGTGGAAATGGAAAAGCAACAGAACAGAACTGTCCCAAAGATCTCTATTTCTCGCCTAAAAAATTACGTTGCGACTATCCAGCCAACGTTGATTGTGCCGGTCAGGAAGGTTCGTTAAAACAACATCGTATCCTTCGGCATATATTTCCATTTTTTGTTATAGAATTACTGAAATTTTGTTTTAAACGGCGGGGCGTTTTCCCTGGCACGACTTGCGAGAAATACGTTGTTTGTTGGGACGGTTGGGTCAAGGAAATAGAATGTCAACATGGATTGCTCTTTTCCGTAACCAGAGGACATTGTTACTGGCCTCATGACGTCAAGTGTGATAATATAAGTAATATTATATCGATAAAATATAATAATCGATTATTATGTATTTGGTAAAAATGCGGAAAACCGGATTTTTGCTATTTATACTTTGTTGCCAAATTGTATTAAATTTCTTCGAAAATGCAAGCAGATGTATTATCCTACTATATGTTTCTAAATCTAATTTTAAATTTTCTACATTTTATTAAATAAGGCAATTGGAGATGTTTTAAAATGTGGTCAAATCAATTTCATACAACAAATTTGCAATAAATTAACAAAATCCGTTATTCTGCATATTTAATATTTATTTTGATATATGAAACATTATTTAAATTGTGATGTATAGATTTGAAGAAATTTTGTCTGAAACCCAGAGGGCAATTTCCCGGTACAAAGTGCAAAAAATACGTAAATTGTCACGATGGTATCGTCGTTGAACAGGAATGTCCAGGCAACTTGATTTTCTCTCCTACTAAACTCCACTGCGATCATCCCAAGAATGTTAAATGTAGTGATAGAAAAATAGAGTTTATCGACAATAACAGTAAGTAAAACAATATTTTTTGAAATCTAAAGGTGCTTTTATATCAATCTCAATAAAAAAATCTTTCGCACACTTTATATGTATACTTCTTAAAAACTTATTTTAAAAGCTTATTTTTTTTATTTTATCAAAGAGTACATGGGATGCGCAGGTATTTCAAACGTTCACATCAGATCTAACAAAACCAATAATTACCTAGTAGTAAGAAAAGATACTGGCTCAGAAGATTTTAAAAACATCTCAGCAGTGCAAGAAAAAAATTTATTAAATTTATCTGCGACGAAATCGTGGAATGTATTTTTATGCGGTAATGGTCTTTATGTAATCAGTTCTGTAGACCAACCAGGGTAAGTAAAATCTGAACATCTGAATATATAGGAATTATCCCTATAATAAACAATATTGAAGCAGATTTATTTAACACAAAAATTAAAAATATTGTAGGATCATTTGCAGGCATAAATAAATAGAAAAAAAGCCCTTGGTAAAGAAGTCCTATAATTTTATAAGTTTCTATAAATCTATCGATTCCATAAATTTCATAAGTTCCATAAATCTATTCACTTCGGTCATTAAGATTTTGTTAAAAAGAACTGAACTAAGAAATTATAAACCTTCCTTTGGATATTTTTAATCAGTTTTGTATCAAGGCTTTTTTGTCTTTTTCGAAACAATTTATTGATTATTTTAATGCTGTTTTCAGTGTTGGTAATCATAATTTTTTTTAAACGCTTTATCAATTTTTTCATCTTAATTTAAGCATTTTTTTTTTTCAGAAATATTTGGGACAAAGAAGATGGATGCCAATATGAAACACCTCTTGTGGGTATATATCCTAAAACTTCAAATCCGTTCGGTGTACAGGGAAACAATTTTTTCGACATAAATGCAGAAACAGGGGTAATTCAAGTTTGTAAAAGCAAATGTGTCTATGTAAATGAGGAAAATAATTTAGAGACCACTGAAAATTGCTCAACAGTTGAGGACAATGTATTTTATATCGAGAGACAAAAAACCAGCGATCTGTTTCTATCATTGTTTAGAAAGTAATTAAATTGATTGTTTTGATCCGTCAAATAAACTAATCTTCTTACTAAATTGCTCTACACTTTTTTTAAAACGTTTTTAACAAATATTAAGAGTAAATCATTCTAATTGATCTTTAACTGTTCTGAATCATTTTAACCCGTTCTGAATCATTCTAAACCGTTTTAAACCGGGTGTTTAAGCCTTGTTGCGAGCAGAAGACATTTCCATCTATACGAAGGTTGAAAGAGTTCAACCAATACCCAAAAAAAAGTGCTTACATCAAAATTACCATCCAATAGCACTACTGCCAATATTGTCCAAAGTAATGGAATCTGCCACTAATTTAGAGATTGTCAAACATCTAGAAAAAAATGACCTGATAACCAGTACAGCTTTCGACGCAGTCGTTCAACAGGTGACCTGCTAATTTATGTCATGTCACGCGTGTGTGAAGTTGACATCTCAAAAGTTAGCATCTCATAAGTTGACTTCATATTTACTTGCATCCGGTATAGTTTTACAGTTCTTGATAAGTTTTAACAATAATTCTATTAATTTAGCCCTTAAAATCGTATCCTTATGGTTTGAGATGCTAACTTCTCGTAAGCTTCGATAGCATCTGACCAAATATCGTATATTTGGGTACCCAGAAGTAAAATTACGAAGAGTTCTATGTCCTGCGTATGCTTTATAAATAGTTCTAGTGAATTAAAGATTTCGAAAATTTTTTGTCTATATTTTATTTTAAAACTATACCGGATGCAGGTAAATATGAAGTCAACTTATGAGATGCTAACTTTTGAGATGTCAACTTCACACACATTCATGTCATTCACCTTTGAACAAGTGTCATCGAGAACCATGAAGAATCAATAGGGACCCCTTTAGATATATCTTAGGCTTTCGACCGTGTTTGGCACAAAGCCCTTCTATCTAAGTTGGCATCCTATGGTCTGCCCCAACAACTATGTGGACTAATAAAAAACTTTCTTCATGGGAGGCAAATTCAAGTTGCAGTTGACGGTGAAACTTCAGATCCGCACTTCCTGAATGCTGGTGTACCTAAAGGATCAATTTTATCTCCAACACTTTTTTTTATTCATATCAACTGAACCGCAACATGATCTGCAAGATGGGTTGCTTAGGCGATGATAGACCAATCCGGTGGGTCCAGCCAGGGTAGCGCGGGCGAAGGTAGCTTAAGGCGAACAAGTGCAGGTAGCAACGGGATAACAAGGGATAGAAGTAATGACAGCGGTGTGTCACGCGGCGTATCGGCGAACCGGCGATATTCGAGGCGATTATTCTGAGTGTTATGAAGTGAACTGAATAAAATCATTCTTGGCGAAGAAAGTGTCCTTTCATATCAGAAGTGGGATCGGATCGGCGGCCGAAGAGGCGAAACTCAGAGGATTTTCGGCGGAAAGTCTTCAGCGGGAAAAGGGCGAGATAACCGTTTTGGTTTGTTCAGGTGTCTTAAAAATCTACTTAGTGTTTAGGCGATTAAACAGTAAGTACCCGTTTGATTATTATGGCGATATAGTATAGAGGAGTAAAGTAGGAGCGGCGTATTAGTAAAGTTCGATCGGCGGCGTGTTAACGGCGAAATTCATCAACGGTGCGGAAGGATGACCGGACGCATGCGCAGTGGCGAGATGAGTTGTGAGCGAGTGAATTTGAGTAGAGGTGCAACCATGGGCGTGCGACTGGAATAAATTTTAATTTTATTTACCAACGGCGTAGTTTTATTTTACTTTAACAAATTGGCGATTTGTGTTGAATAGCAAAATGGGGATTTCTTCAGGAGCGGATTGGCTATAGGCGTTTGATTGATTATAAATGGCGTGACTTTCTTCTAATTATGGCGATTGACAGGTGGCGGGTGGTGCTTGGAGGAAGACTATTGATAGTTGGCGAATAGCAATTGGCGAAAGTCGCTAAAACAGTAAATCAGGCGGAAGGTGTTCGGCGAGGAGCGGCGAAATTGGGGAAAGGCGCCTAACGGTTGGCGGGCCACCGCTGATGGATTAGTTCAATCCCTGGCCAAGATTGAATTGACGAATGTCAGCAATCGGTTAAGCCACAGATGCATTAGCGGCGGACGATGTTTCAGGATGCTTTGCAATTGCAACGTGCGCCTTTATTGGGCGAGTTCAATTGACAATGTCTTCTCTGTTCGTACAATTCGTGCGTTAGCCCTGACGTTAGTGCAGGCAGAGGATATTTCAATGGCGTTGGGGATAACAAATTATTAAACCGGCGGAAATTATTAATTTACTAAAACCGAGTCGAATCTTTTTAGTTAATATGCGGTGCTGGCGATGAATACTCGATTCAGAGGCGAAACTGGATTGTGAGGTAGAGGAAGGACGGCGCCTGGAGGAAACGGCGAACTCAATACGGCGCAACCTGAACTTGGCGGATGAACAGGCGAATGCATATTCGCTGACCTCACGAAGAGCGTCGAGCAGGTGAGCGGCGGGCAGGCGGCTAGGCAGCGGGCGGATGAAGGACAAGTTGAAGGCGATTGCGGAGAAGGCGACTCTGGCACCGTTTACTTCTCGTGATGGAGGCGCCTGTAACGTTAAAATTTTACCCCTTCAATAAAACTACAAAAATAAAACGGTAAATATATATTTCGTTACTTAGGTGGATGACTTGAACATCCGGGCACGCGGCTACACTCAGATGAGACGGGAGTGAGTCAAAATTAAATGATATTTAGATATAAAACGGGCGCCAGTTAAGTTGACCAAGTGCCCTTAACAATATAATCTTATATCAACTCCCAACTTAACAAGGAATTGATAGTACACACTTTTCGTAACTCTATAGGTATTTAATTTAATACAATAGCGAAAGAAATAATAGAATACAATACAAAAAAAAAATTTAAGAGAAAATTAAGAAATAGAAAGATAATTATTAAGAAATTCCAAACAGTACGAGATAGCAGTCACGGTATAAATCAAATTCGACTTACCGATGGTGATCCGGTCAACCGGATGGTTCAAAGTAAAACGAAGTTCTGCGAAGTCAATATACTATGGCGATGCAGCTGGGTCCTCCAATTGATCGATCAGTTGGGGTCCAGATCCAAAGGAATATCTATAATTCACAGAGTAATTACTAAACGGTAAAGGCGAGTCGAATTTTCGTTATTAACAAAAGAAAATTAATTAACTATCGTACTGAATTAGAATATGAATTTAACGATAATAAAATTGATACTACACGTGAAGATGAATTTAACAATAAGTAAAAGAAATTGAACTACGATGAATTAAATTTAAATAAATGATTATAATAAAACTTCTCCGAAAACGGCGGACGGATCCCACGTGGTGAAGTTCCCAAGGTTCCTGGTGACGGTCTGGGTGTCACATAAGAGTCCAGATACTCGGGACAACAGGTGAACTTTGTCGAATCAACTATCGGTCGCAACTACAGGCGGTCAAAGTGACGCAGGAATCGGTCCCAGTCCAATCGGAAGACAGTTAAATACAAATAACCTCACGGAAGATCCAAGAAAATACGGATTGGAAAATTCAACCCAAAGTAATAGTAGTAATAAAAATTAATCCTAAGAAACACACAATTAACGATTGCAACAGGAAGGAAGACAAGACTTACCCCTAGTGTTCTAAGTCGGGGATCGAAACGTGGTTGATTTGGTCAAGAGGATATAGATCCCGAATAACGGATTTAACTCACGTTAACGCCAAAAATATACGGCAAATCAAATAGCACAAGGCTCCAAACAACTAACGAAGTTAAATATTTTCAGACAGACCGTAGAAAATCTGAGATGTTTCCCGATTACTAAAAATGTAATACCACGAGTCTGTCTGCCTCAAAGACCAAAATCAAAATGGAACCAGCGGAACCACGGAACAACCTAAATAACCCTTTAGAAGTGTCAATTACTCAGAACACTAATTCGTCAAGAACACAAAGACAAATGTCAATAACAATAAACAGAAGAATTTATTGTTGGACAAACGAACGTACTCGTAGAATCATTAACCTTAGTTATTCCAAAAGGTAAACAAATCTTCAATACAATCAATTAGTGAATTTAAAATGTGTAAAGGAATTAATGATTATTGTGGGGAGATTTTAGAACGTTACAGACCCCCCTTACTTCAAGAAAATTCACCAGGTGAATTTTCACTAACGCTAGTTAGTAATCAGAGTAAGAAAATACACTTCAAACCCAAAAAAATATCTACGCTCCAAAGTATAACACTTGTCAACCTCCTGTGCAAAAAAAAAGATAATATAAAAGAAAATAGAAAATTCAACCAAGAGAGGAATTTATACGTCAAGACTGAGATAACCACAAAAAATATACCCTCAAAATAAATTTTCCAACACTACACCCAAATTTTTAAGTCGAAACTTGGGACTTAAGACAACAAAAAAAAATCAAACCCATAGGCCTAAATCATGCGACTAAAAATGGAATCGGTCCAGATCCACGAAAGTACCGAGGAATCAAAGTCAACGAAAACAAACAAAACTAATCGTTCTGCAGTTTGCAGGTGCGGTCTGAAAGGACAGCCAAGAGTCTCGTACTCACGTAACGTGGTCCCTAAGGCACGACTACTCCTGCTGAACTCACCTAACAATCCTGACAGAGCGAAGGAACACTAAAAGAAACCATCCATTCCACGGAACTTCAACGGACAATAAACACTAACTGCACCAATTCCAACCAAAAGTTAGTAAAAGCGGCCAAAAGTGGCCAAGTTGAAGGGTTCTTACCTTCCCGCTGGATAATCCTCGGGTGATGGTATTCTCCTGCCCCCAATCACAGGGCACATTAAGCCCAAATCAGCATTATAAAGTCAAATTCGAATACAAAAATAAGCATTTAAACCGATTACAGAATAAACAACTCTCTAAAACCCAACTAAGTACAAAGGATGGAATTGTAATAAGGTATAAACAGACTGTATCGTTTCTCCAAGTGTACGATAGCAAGAATCAAGCTCCTTGGTCTGACAGGGTAATATCCAAAAATATATCTAGGTATTGTTAACAACATCGGCCGGTTTCAGGTCTTTAATGTTCCAAATACCAACGTCGCATCCATTTTCGTCCATTAACAAGTACGTCCATG